GGGCCGGCAAGGCCGGTGGCGCGTGTGTGGCGCAGGCGGGTACGGTCGGGCTTGGCATAGGCGGCATGGGAGGACGAAGCAGAAAACAGAGGAACAGCTACTGCGCTAGGTAATTCAAGTGGTTTTTACAAGAAGAAGACGGCATACGAGCTCCTAGTGTGACTGGAGTTCTGACGGGTGCGCTGCCGATCTAGAGAGAGAGAGAGAGCCAGAGGCAGGCAGGGAGATAGACAGACAGACAGATAGATAGAAGCAAACAAGGGGCAGGGAGGAATGCATACAGAGCAAGTGCGGCCGACCCTGGCACTGCATGTTTACACGCTGTACACGTAAAGCAGTTCAGAAGAAGAGGGACGTAAATGGGGGCCGCATGCGAATAAGGGTGCGTGGCATTAGCGTCAGCGAGGCGCGGAAGCTGACATGCAACAGGAAAGGGAGGTAGGGAGAAGGGCACGCTTGAGGGCAAACATTGGCGGAGAAATCGAAGACAAGGGCCAAATAGAAGGGTTCGAAAGAAGGGTCGTTCCTTAGAAGAGGAAGAAAGGCAGACGGAAGAAGGGGAAACGCTAGCAAGCGGAGGCAGCGAGCGAGCAAGGGTGCGAGGAGACGCGAACTAGTGAGCAGGGAGACGTCTAAGGGAGGATCCCTTACCGGGCACCACATGGGTGTAATTGGGCTTAACTTCCGAGTCAAGTGTCTCGGTGTCTTGGAGGAGAGCTACAGAGGCCCTTGCATCTTGCCGCTCCAGCAGAGAGGCGGCTGTGTGCAGTCGACTCGTCACACCACAGGTGAAGAATCTTACACGACTTGCGGTGGCCTCTTGGAGAGCCTCCACGAGGGTCTGTGACTCAGCAGAATCCTCTTCCTCCGACATCTTTGCCACACCGGCTCAGTAGGTCTGGTGAAAAGTGGAAGATCCGGGAAGAGAACCCGTAGGCTTCAGCATAAGAGAGGTATGCCTTTACAGGTAGCAAAAGCGCCTGAGCACCTGGGGAAGTACTCGAGGGGGAGAGAAAGAAGCTAAGGTCGTACCACCCAAGGTGGGTGGGATTCAAGCAGGGGGCTGCTGCTACGCAGTGGCTTGGGAGATCAGAGCCAGGCTGGAGAACGGCGCTGTCTTTGCGTTGTTGACTTTATATTGTGGCGCCATTATTTTAAACAAAGAAATCTAAAGTCGGTTGCTGCTATTTTGTGTCTGGCTGCCCTTGCTGTTGCGCCCTGAGTCTTGGGGCTGCAGGCAACGAGGACCGGTGGTGCACCAAGGCACGGCGATGGACGATGGGAGTTGTCTTCTTTTACCCGTCCTCTGACCATTCCCTCGCGAGTCTTTTCATCCTAATCCTTGTGCTAAAACAGATCCGACGGTGTTGAGGTGTAGAAGGGCTCGCAGACCTCACAGAGGTTTCTTGTATGGTGACGGGTCAGGTGCCTCATGTGACAGCCCGCTCACTAGCGCGTGAGGCATAGACGGACAGTCTAAACACGAGCACACGTTTTCTCGCACGCTACGCGCTTCTTGCTCGCTGGAGGCCTTCATTGCACAAGCCGGGGAATGTGCTTTTGGCAGATAAAACGAGACTTTTAAAAGGGGCCGACATGCGATTCCTCTCTCGCTACCGCTGTGTGTGGCTAACATATTCTATTTGCTTGCCTATCGTACAGCTTTTCTCAGCCTATTTGCGAGTAGACACCTCTTAGCAGTCATAGTTAAACAGAACAAAAACAAAACCCATATTACGTCGTGGAGCTCGCGTCCCTGGCGTTGGGGACCGCAAGGAGCTGCCCAGAATCTTTACAAGGGCGGGACACTTCCACTATTTATTTTTGGATATCACGGGCCTTTTTGCTGGCACCTTGATCTGGCTGTAAATGTGAATGGCCAACGATGGTGCAGTGAACAGCGTGGTCTCTCTGAAGGCTTCAATCTGGCCCTCGACAACTTGCCTGAAGATAGATAAGCAGGAAAACACGGACACGTTACCTTTCAAATTCGGGATGCAACTTTACCGAGAGACCTCACGCATTATCAACAATGCCTACAATGATCGTTGAAGCGCGTACGCAAACCGACGCCCTAGAAGCTGCGCCTCAATTCCACTTTCACCCGCCGAAACGCCGCTTATGTTGTGTGATCCTGGGTTTGCACAGATCATTTGATTAAATGGACCGCGCTGGCTCACTGTATTTCCTTTGCCATTTCTTGGTAGATATCAAAAATATATTCTCTGCGCTTGATTTGATTTAAATCCCTGCTGAAATCTTCGATGAGGTTTTTTGGTTTCTGCTTCCAGAAAGTGATGCCCCCTTCCTTTAGCTCTTCTAGCTTCTTGCCCATTAGGCGCTTCTGCCTATGGGACTCTAGGAAGGCCGAAATCCGTGAATGCACGTATGTGGGGTCGTACACTGTTGTTATAGAGAAGCAGTAATACAACAAACCCTCGAGCCGTAATGTTGTCATGTGCGTCAGATAACCCAACTGCTCCTCCGTGCGCAGAATGTTGAAAAACTCTTGAGACATCCACTGTTGAACCAGATATGCCAGGGCCTTCTCACGCACCGTGGACACTGGACCAGCCTAGAACGAAAAAGAAACAGGGGCAGCCCTCATTTTGACTAACCGATTGCGGAAAAATTGGATCCGAAGAATACTACCAATAGATTTCCCCCTGTAGGAAAGAAGCCTTTTAGAGAAACATAAAAACGCTCAATACTGAAATGTGGGGCTAGCGGCCAAGTTACGTCAAGATACATCATTAGAGATTTGAGCGCTCATGTTTCGGCCGTAGTTAAGTAGCTAAAAGTTATCACGCTGTTTGGGTCTTACCTGAACGACAAGGAGCGCGTGGTTCTTGACGTCGAATGGATTGCTGTTACGTCTCGTCAGGCTCAGCCGGACCGCTCGGCCGTCACTTCCCTGTAGGGAGAGTATCTTGTCTGTATTTCGCTGCTGACTCTCCTCGGCAGCGATCTCATTATGTGCTTTCTTGTCGTTTTGGACAATGTGTTGTTGCAGGGCCTCATCGCCGCCCTCCGCAGCTCTGGCCTTCTCTGCATCTCTGGTTCCCTCCGCATCTCGGCCTTCCCCTGCATCTCCGCTGTCCTCTACCTCTCCGCTTTTATCTGCATCTCTGGCTCCGACCCCATCTAGGCCATCGTGTACAGCTCCGCCGTCCTCCACATCTCTGCTCTCCTCTGCATCTCTGCCCTTTTCCTCTGCACCTGCGCCTTCTTCCTCTTCTAAAGCGCCTCCTTCCTCTGCATCCCCGCCCTCCTGTACATATCCGCCGTCCTCTGCATATTCCGCTTCTTCAGGCGGACCTTCGCCTTCTTGCTCTGCATCTATGTCTTCCTGCATACCTTTGATTTCGTTTGCCCCCTTGTCTGCCTTCACTTCTGACTCAGTTTTGCTTCCTTCTATCTCTGCCTCATGTGCATCTGCCTGGCCCGTTTCTGCGTTTGTGACAGCCGACGTCATCTCTGTTTTGCGTGCTTCCAGCGACGAGAAGGAGAAAAGCCTGCGTATAGGGGAGCTGAGTGTCCTAAGCGGGATTCTGGTTGGGGCAGAGTGTCTGAGTGGGCTGATGGTTTCCAGACGAGAGACCTGCACGAGCGCCTGTGCGGCCTCTGCTCCAATGGTCTTGTCGATGGGAAGGGCAGTCAGAACGGACGTCAGCAGCTTGGAAGCAGCATCATTGGTGATAGCTCCCTGCAGCACAGCACATGACATGAACAGAATGTGGACAATGTTCTCCTCAATATCTGCACGAAGCCCTTCGGGCGTATGAATGCACAGCAGCCCCCATTGGCCTGTCCGAAAAATCTCCACAAAGTGCAGCATCCTCACAGCCAAATCGCCACAAACGCTGCCCGCTTATAGCCCCTGCGCCCCGTAGTTTCGCCTCCTGAGAACTCGCGACAATACACCACCTGTACTCCACTGCGGGACTAAATCGTATTCCCGCAGCTAGTCTGAGCTAGCCAGCAACTAGTTTCCTGCTAGCTGCGCACCTGTATTAGCCCCTCTACGTGCACTTCTTTCCACATTAGCTCTCCCCATTCCACAATGTCGTGGTAGAGCCTGCTGTGCCACGCGGCGTCTCCATCGGCCTCTGGCGCGCTCTGCCAGTAAGTGCCTGACATTGCCGGCGCGGTGTAGGAGGCCTTTAGCCGCTTGACACCTTGGAGCACGGTCTCGGGGTCGAAGTATGGTGTGGCAACGGACAGCTTCAGTGCATCGCCTGCCTGGCTAGAGGGACTTCTGCTTGCGGCAGCGACACGGGAAGCCACCTCCAGCCAGTCCCAAGTCGCTTTAACAAACTCCTCCCTAAGGAAGGGCCTGAACGGGCACGCTTCTAGCTGTAGCTGTGTGCCCTCGTGATCCTGAGTCGCTTTCTTTCTCTCTTGCCCTTCCTCTACCCGCAAACAGGAAGCCACAGCGTGAACGAGGTGGGGGAGGTGCTCCGAAAAGCCAAACGCGTGAAACACCACCCCGAACGGTCGGCTGGTCCCAGAGACTCTCACTCCAGGGGTGAGCAGTGCAGAAATCCCCGCCCGATGGGCGCTGTCAAATGCCTGAAAAAAACAAGGGGAAGCGAGAGATGACATGTTCGCTTCCAACTCGCACACGGGTCTAGGGGGGAAACACAGAGTCACCAACTTGTTGCGTGTCGATAGGCATACGATCCAGAGCGGAGGAGGGGTACCTGCAAAGGGAGTTGTGCATGCTAAACGAAATCCTGGTTTTAGCGGCTGCCTGCCGCCGGCAAGGTCTGAGAGACTGCATTGCCTCCATTCAACCGCCATACCACCAATTTACTCAGCTGTTGAAGAGGGAAGACGGGGTCTCCATACCTCAGTGATAGAGAATTCGGCGAGTCTGGAGTAGAGGACCGTCATAAGGTACTGCCGCACGGGATCGTCGTGTTTCGGACTAAAGTAGAAGCCAAGTGACATCACAGTTTTAGGGGTTCCAAACTGCGTGTCTCGTTTGTGAAAGACATTGCATGAGACCGGTGCCCCAGGAGCATCCAGGCTTCCCGCTGTCTCCCTCGAGTTGCAGATGTGACCGAGGGAAAACCGCAAGAGTTTAGGATGGACTGGGAGCTTCTGGTTATCATGCTGTTCGAGCTTGAGCGACTGGGCGACAAATGGGTTGCGCAGGGGAAGCGAAAGGTTTTCCTGCTGCAGCGCAAGAGAGACTTCCTCTGTCGGGAGGCTGAACCTGTCCATCCATTTCCTGAGAAGGGAATCCTCAAGAGGCCTTTGTTCATACCTTATGCTGTACCACGGCTCTACTTGCGTCCCCTTCGTCCCTCGTGCCTTGTCGAGTAAGTATACCCGAAGATTATTCGGGTTTAAGTAGTTGTCAATCAGAGACATAACGATATCCCTATCAAATCTGTACATAAGGATATCTCCTGCCAGCACTTCTCGGACGGGCACGTAGTTTAGAGCTGCAGATTGTGCCAAACCACGCAAGGCATCCAGCTGCTTTTACGAAGAAAGAAGCACATGGCCGAAGACCCTCCTGCTCTAGGGAAAGCAGATTACTCGCTACACCCCTTCTTGACACGATTGATTCTAACGCGATAAACATAGCTTATCGATGTAGGGTCTTGCGCGCTGCTTGTCTTGCTGCTGCTAGTGACCCTTACATTCTGCTGCCATCTGGGTGAGGTTGTAAGGCGGAACTATGTCGGCGAACTGGAATTCCTGCTCTTGAACTTTGGCCATCTCTGCATACCGCCACTCCTCTACAGCCAGCGAACGTATGGCCCTGAGCATGCACACAACCTACGCCGTAAGCTAAGCTCAAACCTTACAGGTTGGGCAGGCATGAAGTCTCCGGGGGGTTGACCTTCCGGTTGGAAGACCGATGCGCAAATCTTTGGCCCTACTAACCCCAGGCTTTGTGTGATGGACTCTTGTTGACGCGTTCCTGCACTCAACGGAAGTGAGCGCTTGTGCATTAGTCACTCAATGTGGAAAATAGGGTTTAGGGCGTTCATTACCGCAAATACAGGAAGAAGAGGTCTCCAATAGTTGATATCGATTTCTTCTCAAGGCCCTTTTCCGTCAGCAGGAAGCGAATCTAGGAAATTGGCAGATAAGTACAAGCAGCGGCAACAAAAACATGTCACGCACTCTCGCTACTGGTGCGTATGCTGCAACATGGTGTTCAGGGTGTCTTATCCTGGGAGTGCCGGCTACACGTGATGTGAGCCTACGTAAATACCGCAAAAGCCACTGCAACACCGCTTTGGCGTGACTCACGTCTAGAAGCGTGCAGTACTCTGGAGCAGTTTCCGATGAATTGATATCGGTTACGAGGCCAAGTTTCCTAAGACGGCTGACCAGGGACCCTTTTCCCTGCAGGCCAATCAACTGCCTAACGAAGAGAAGAGGCTTGGAATCCCAAGCATATTTTTGGGGGGGCAGCGCAAACAAAAAGCGCAGCTGGCGGGTGTCCGACTGAGGTGCCAACACCGTCTGCATCGCATGCACACGCAGGCTCTGGCTATAGGGTCAGCAGCAGTTCTGTAAGTGCCCCCTGGGGGGCAGTGCCTTAGATGTGCACGCATGCATGCATGTATGCATACGTGTACATCTAAGGTTTTCCCCCCAGGCATGCAAACGACTCCTTGAGAGCTGTGCGAGCCTAAGCCACCCAAGATTCGCATTTGACTAACACACCCCATTCTTCGAACCCCTGCAGACCCTAATTCCTAGACCTTAGGCCGAAGCCCACCATGCCTTACGAATGTTTTCAGCTCTTCCGAAGCGAATGGCTGATAGTGAAGGGAGCATTCCTTAAAACGAGGTGCTTCGGTGTTTTTGTTCGGGATTCGGCCCAGATAGGAGACAGCAAGGTTCTCAAGGCCATCCAAGGACTCGTTTCCCACAATAACGGAGGTCATGAGGTTGCTGGAATACCTGCGGGTCCACACAGTCCCGCCCAACCCACGCACAGGGAAGCCATGAGTGCTCCAGGATCTTCATGCACACACAAAATTCCCTGAAGCTTCTTCCTAGAGCTCCCTGTGGGGGCGTATCTGTCTGAAATGACGTGCGTCAGAGCACGACGCAGACACGGGTTGACATGGAGGCACACGTATAGGCAGGCCACAGAGAAGCGAATGATGGGATCCCTCCGCCTAAAAGCATGCGAGCGAAGTTTCATAGACGGCCTTCCCCCCCGACCGAAGTTCCCTGAGGGTAACTCTTGCAGGGTGCTGGCTGCGGTACGTGACGACGGCGGCAACGGCCCAAAAGAAAGGCAGGCAAACAGCAGCACATTGGACCTCACATTGCTGCTCTGCAAGGAAACATGAGCTCTGGCCTTCTTGATAGGGGCACGAGAATAAGTCAAGGTATTAGACATGCAGAGCACACAAGGGATAGCAGAACGTACACGCCTAAACGCTCACCACTTAGAGTGAAACTGTTTCATCTCTTGAGTGATATCCAGACCATGAGCTTTCGGTATATCGAGGAGGCTGTGCAAATTACCGACGGAAAAGTTTGAAAAAGGCGTAGCCAGCTTGCTCTGCATCACAAAGCCTTTGCACTCAAGAAGCTATCTACGCTCGACCCCGTGACCTTTAAAACTGCCACCAAATAAGGAGCTGCCAGATTTTCAGGCGTGCACGAAAGTCGTAGGGCGAATGCCTGAAAACGTTTAGAGGTCCTAACGACAGGCTTCCGTGCTGCGCTCTCCCTTACCTGTCTGGAAAAGTGTGCAAATCTGATGGCATCATCCGTAAATCTCAGTTGATACTCTGCATGGACCGCATGCACCTCTTTGTGAACCGCTTCAGGCTTGAGCTCTGGGCTAAGAAAGATGTCCGCCATCCTGTCAATTGCAGGCTTGAGGTGCTTCGGGCCGATAGAGAACGTCAGAACCGTAGAAAACTTGCTGGTATAGGCATTCGCCTTGCCCCCCCTGAGGTGGACAAAGTCGAAGAAGGAGTGGCCACCAGGAAAGCGTGAAGACCCTTGAAACAGCATGTGCTCCGTAAAGTGCGCGAGGCCCTGCACTTCCCGGGGATCTGAAGCCGAGCCAACACCGACGCGCAGAGAGACTGCAGCCTCGTCGCAGTCCGGCTCGTGCACCAATAAAGCCCGCAGTCCATTGGAAAGTACCACATAGCGATACTGTCTCCGGTCCGTCAGGGGGCGTTGAACTGCGCACACACAGAGGCCCACAATGCGCATCACACGACGGCATTGGGAGGATATGCGACGCACGAACGTGCCAAAATTATACAACGGAGTCGCAGCGGGAAGTAGGAGGCAGGACCGGCAGGAGCAGGAGGCGAGGAAGAGAGAAAAATCTCCACAGAGAGCAGCCAACAAGGGTGTATTGACCGGAAATGGAGGTGTAACATTTGTGGGAAGCCTAAGAAGCGCTGGCGAAGGAGAGACGGCACATGGAGTAGCACGCATGTGTGCAATTGGACTTCGTGGTTGGGGTAAATGCAAACAAATAGAGGAGATCAAATATCCGCAGAGCGCTGGTGTGCATTGCTACCCCAGAGAGGCAAATCGGCCACCGGATAGAGGAGGCACAGAGGTAAACATCGCGACACGGGCATGTGGCCAGAAACATGTATAAATATATGCAAACATGCGCATCCAAATGTACTCGCCTATACTGGCCCCTCTTGCATATCCATATCCGTCTATACAAACTACACTTCTACACGTTTTCGTATATGCGGATTTGTTTGCATATGTATCTCTGTCTACATGATACGGCTGTCCATCAATTGAGATAACTGGATGCATCCACGTGAACAGGTTCAATATACGTCTGTACGAGCGAGTGTATGCGCACACATGTCCACTCAAAGACCACAAAATCCACGAATACTGATTGGGGACGGGGGACGTGTTTTCCAAATGCACAAATACATGTAAAAGCATGCCTCAGGCAGAGTACAGGAAGTCTGGTTATTAGGGTTCGAAAGAGAGCCCTGCTTCTATGTTTCTGAGACTTTCACAAGGTGGATTCAATAGAAGCATGAAAACTCTGTTGCGCATGATCTAGCGGTAGGGTCTACAGATATTAGCGCCTAGGAGGGTAAGGCCTCACTGTCTTCCGTTGACTGCAGCACATAGGGGGCACCCAAGGATCCCCGTGCCCCTTCGTGGGACAGTGGTATAGGAGAACCATAGAAGGGGCAAAAAAGAAGCAGAAGGGCACAGAAGAGACCGTATAGCTGCCTCATCTTGCTGGTGCTGCTGATGTGCTGCGGCTGCTCGTCAGGCGATCCTCATGGCCCTCTAAGAATAAGGCTGACTTCATCTATTTGTGTCTGGCCTGCGAAAGAAGACAGGCTCTGGCAGGCCCTCTAGCGCTACAGAGACTAAGGCCTTCCTGTTGGTCTCAGCAGGAGGCTAAGGCTGTCGGCAGCAGTAACAGACAGGGGAGGCGGCATCCACAGCAGCGGATCACTCAGCCCCTCCGCAACAGAGCACGACAAAAGAAACGGGGAAAGAATAATCAGGCCCTTGAATTTAGTGGCATCGAGGTATTCGAGAAGGATAGAGAGGTACAAGGGACTCTCCGGCAGCAGCAGCAGCAGCAGCAGCAGGCCGCTGGGCCTACAGTGGTACTGCTGCTGCTGCTGCTGCTGCTACTGCTGCACGTGCTAGCGGAGCGAGCCCCCCCACCCCACAGCACCTTGAGGCGGGCAATGCTTGCCTTTAATCGCCCTCTGGAATCCGTTTTTAGTATCTATATAGAAAAATGCCAATTGTGTGTATTTTGCTCAGATTTGCTCCATTAGGCTGAGCAGCAGGCTCCCAGCAGCAGCAGCAGTTCTTGCTGATTCTGGGTTTACCTGTATAGATTAAAAGTCTGTATTGGAAAGATATCCGGTTTCTATGCCATATTTTGGATTTGGTAGCACATCCTCTGCATCTCCCCACGGACTCAGCAGCGGTGGGGGCTGCAAGACTCAGGGCGAGGGCCCCCAAACGGACTTCTTCTTTATCGTCTATTCCTCCGTTAGGCCCTTCGTATTCGAACGAAGAAGATCTACGAGGGCTTGCAGTTAATCAGAAGAGAACAATATAGATCCAAAGGACGAGCACACAAACAGCACTGCGGCGGACAGCACCAGTAGGAGCAGCAGCCGTAATCAGCGGCAGCATCGCTGCAGCAGAGTCTCAGGTGCAGATGGCCAAGTGTATACACTGAGACAATGATATCTTGGCGGGGTGCTGCAGCAGCTGCTGCAGCAGCGGTGGCAGCAGGATCAGTGCCTTTGCGCGCCCTAGCTCACCCCTCCCACACAGAGCAGCCGCAGCAGCAGCAGCAGCAGCAGCAGCAGCAGCAGCAGCAGGCAGCTGATAATCACGATAAATTCCCAGTTTGGGCGTCCAAGCTGCTCGCCGTGGGCAGCCTAGTGCTGGTATCTGCTGCGGGTGCAGCTCTGCCTTTTTATCTGCAGCGGAAGGTAGTAGCAGCACATGAGCCGGAGCATGAAGAGGGTTCCTTGTTTAGGGGCCCTCGGCGTAATGAGGCCTCGTATAACGGCAGTGGGGCCCTTCCTGTGAGGCCTCGCCGACCAGAGAGTTGGATACAGGTTACTTTGGTGTTCTTGAACTGCTTTGCATGCGGTACGAAGGAGGCTCTCTTAGCACGAAAAGTTGTGCGTGCCGCTGAATTTCAGGGTGCCTTCGTTGGTGCCGAGCGCGTAGGGCGGGCAGACCAAGCTCCAAGACTGGCTGCTGCTGTGGTGCCGGCTGCTGTTTCGTGCAGGGGCCTTTTTAGGCTTAGGCTTGTTGCATTTGATGCCAGAGGCGGTGTCTCAGTTGGAAGCCTCGGGAGTGGTATTGCGGCTGGGGCATGGCGACCATGAGCACCCGTACAATGCGGCTTACGTGCTGGCGGCTGCTGGACTTACACTGATGCTTATCATGGAGCAGATGTGGGGGAGCTCGCATTCCCGTAAGGCGCTGCTGTCGCGGCTGCTTCTTTGGCGCTGCCTCATGCTCCCCGTGCCGCTGTTTTCTGACGACCCCTCGGCTGCTCCGCAGGTGCAGCACTAAGGCCAGAGCCCCCTTCCCCTACCCCCTAGGTGCCTTGCTGTCTACCTTGTTGTGGCTACTGCAGATGGGCACCACCACGGTGACTCCTTGTCGAGCTTGAGCGCAGCAAGCGCCGTCAATGAGCACTCGCCGGCAGCTGGTGCAGCCCTGCCTCACCCTGCGCATCTGCATGCGCAGCAGCACGGCAGCTGCAGCGAGGCGGCTTACTGCCCCGAGTGTGAAGACTGCGTGGAAGCGCATACTGCAGCAAACGAGCACGATCTCGGCTGCGCTCAGAAGTCTGACGCTGCCACGCTGCTGTCTGCAGGACGGAGGGGAGGGGAACAGCAGCAGGAAGTCGATGCGAAAGCAGCAATAGGAGAAGGGGCATATTCCAAGTGGCGGGGGGCTGGTGATGCTGCCAGTGTCGCTGCTGCTCCGGGCAAAGGTTCGGCGGTGACTCCTGCGGCAGAAAAACATAGCCGTTGCGAGCGAAGTAACAGCAATGCCAACTTCAAATGCTTGCCTTGCGAGCCGACGTGTGTCGCTGCTGTACCTGGTTCGGGGGCAGCTGCAGCAGCACAGGGGAATTGCTGCGGCACCAGCAGCTGCAGCAGAGGCAACTTCTGCACGAGCGGCAGCCGAAGCTGCTGCTCTCGCTCACACTCACCTGAAGCCGAATTGAGAGTGCATTGTGGGCTGACAGGAGACAAATGCCAGGTGCGAAGGAGGTGGCCCTTAGCTGCTATGTATACATAAATAAATAGTTTTTGTTATCTACATACATATAAGTTCTTGAGTGGACGTCGCGGCATCCGTCGCTTGTCTCGCTGCTCGCGTTGGCGTTTTGCGTGGCGCGTGTGAGGCAGATGAGTGCTACTTCTCTTTTGCCTGCAGGGTGGTGATTATTACGCTGCTAACGGACATCAACTTTCTGCGGCTCTCGTTGTGCCCAACGGTGGGTTTTGCTTCTGTGCTTGCAATTTGCAGGGTCTGCGTTGATGCCGCTGTGTCTATGCCGCACTGTTAAAGCGGTGCTTCTTGTATGTGTCGGTTGTTGGCGTCATGTTGCAGCTGCCTTGCGGTGGGCTGGTGCTACAGGGCGGAATCGCTCGGATGAGGCCTATCTGTTGCAGAAGCTGCAGCAGCAGCTGCAGCACGAGAAACCGACAGCCTCGAAAGGAGGGTCAAAGGTTCCGTTGGCGGCTGCCCTTGGAGCGCATGCAGTTTTGGAAGGTGGGGGAATGGAAGGAGGGGGAGGGTAGGAGGGGCTCGTCAGCTCTCAGTGGAAGGGGTGCGAGCGCGCCCAGTGGTTATGTGCCTTGACGCCTTGTGTCCCTCGACGCAACGTCTCCTTCCGTGTTCATAGACATCCCGCAAATGCATGCATGCACGCATTTACGGGGCTGCTCCGTAGAAAGAGTATCTCCTTGGAACCCCTTATGTTGCGTCCTTGATGCATGCGGCGTTGCAGCAATTGTTGTCGGAATGACGAGGACGACAGGAGACGTATGGATTTCAACGCTGGCAATTTTGGGGCATAAGGGTGCAGAAGCAGTTGCCCTCTCCTCTGCGTTGCTCAAGGCTCGAACGGTGAGCGGTGGCGCATGCTGCTGATGCACTAGGCAGCATGGTAGCGCTCGCATCACCTTGTGTCTCAGCTGAAATCTAGCGTTGGGTGTATCGCTGCCTCGCTTCACGCGTCGGAGACAGCAAGCAAGCAAGCGGGACAGGACAGACCACGCAGCAATGGATTTTCATTGCACATAATAACTAGCAGCGTATGCGTCTTGGCAGCTGTACACATGTATACAGCGTCACGGGGAGAGACACACACCCCTTTTGGTGGAGCTTTTTAGGGGGCCGATCCTTAGATGTCACCAGCTCCTGAGTCCGTGTGGGGTCTTGTGCAGCCTCAAATTTTTTAATGCCTTTTCACAGTGCGTCTTCTCTGCCGCAGCTGCAGGCGCTTCTCGTGTGTGTGTATCAATGTGTCGGGGGATATGGGTTTTCGTCTGCGTCACAGTCCGGTTGGGTAAAGCTCGCGTGCCTCTTTGTATTTGTTATGGCAACACCAATCGGAGTCTTGATCGGAGTCTTTATTGCTTGGAGGGGTGAGTCCATTTTTTTTAAATCGGGAAACGCGTCCTTTCTGTTGCTTCCTGCATCTTGTCCTTTAACGTGTCCCCCCTCGCTGAGTTTCTGTCTGTCTGCGCCTCTTGTCAAACTTTTTTCGCGGTGCCCCTCTTCCCCTTCTTACCCCTGCACGCCTCTCTGTCTGCCTTCTTTTAGCCAGTCTCTAGGTTTTTGGCTCTTCCTAGCCGCTGTCTCCGATGAGAGTGCGGCCTGTCGGCTTCCTTTCCTTATATCCACCGCCTTTTCTGTTGAATGGGCTAAATTTGCGCGTTCCTTTGGTAGTGCAGTCCCGCGGTAAAGTTGAAACGCTTGTTTCTGCTCTGAGGGTGCTGCTGCTGTTGCAGAGTCTGCTGCGGCGGGTGTCTTGAACGCGCTGGCTGTTGGAATCATTCTCTATGCTTGCATTGAGGTGAGTTGGAAGGCTCACTGTCCGGCAACCTGCATCTTTTAAGGCTGCTGTCGTTTCGTCCAAGTGCATCAGAATGCGTGTCTGGTGCCTCCGCTTGGCATTTGCTGTTGCGGCGCATAGTCCTCGAGCTTAGTTCTGCTTTCTGCGCAGATGCTTGCCGAGTTCGAGGTGAAGGCCCGTTTTCCGCGTCGCATGCTGCGGTGCTTTGCATTTTTGTGCGGCTTGGGGCTTTTATTTGGCTTGGACTTGTTGCATGCCCCCGTGTGTCATCATAGCCATAGCCACGAGCACAACCACAGCCACAGCCACAGCCACGCTGAGGAGGATGTCTCTGGTGCTAGCGCAGCTGTTGCTACCGTACTGGAAAGGAGCCATCTGCGGCACTTGCACTATGACCCCTCTACCCGTCATGTCGTGCACCATCACGATGAGGAGTATCAGAACCTTCCTCGTGCCTTAACCGGTGCAGCAGACGCAGGTGCACGTGCAAATGCGTCTGCATCCACCCCATAGAATAGCAGCAAAAACGATGGCAACAGCTTTCGGGGAGCCAGCACACCTCCGGGCTCGCGGTAAAAGCTGTTGCAAACTCCCTCCGTAGGTAACAGCCGTTGGCAGCTAATAGAAGGGGGTTTCTGCTGGTCGCTATCGGGTAGAAGTGCCGCGGCGAGACGAAGGATACCTCGCCAACCACGCGCGAAGGCCTGCACATTGCCACGCATGCAGTGCACTTCAGTGTTCGGTTGCAGACGAAAGCTTCTCTAAGAGCCTTCTGACGCGAGGGGTGGAACTTCGGGCCTGCGGACTCCCCGCCGGGATGTGCAGTATGTGGGAGTTGAGGGTAGATGCTGAGTTCTTGCTTTTATAACTGTTACTCTTGGTGCTACTGCTAAGCAATGTATACTGGTTACACCCCGGACCTCCAACAGGGAGCGTGCCTCTTCATCTGCAGTCCTTCTTTCCTAAGGGCGCTCCCTCTGCAGCGGCAAGATGCATTGCACCAATTCCGTTTTTTGTTTCGGTAGCGAATATCCGTCACTGTCAGCCCCCAAGACGTAGAGTATGTTGGATGTCTGCTTACAGCCCCCAGTGCGTCGGTGCGAGGCTGTGCGAGCACCCGCGTCACCCTGCGAGACACCTTAGGCAAACAACGCGAGCAGGAGCGCAGCTGCCGTCCCTACTATAGACCATTTATCCCGTCTGTCTCGATGATTTTTCGGGCTCCCATCTTGAAGGGACCGAGTAAACGCCGCTGCACATCAGGAAGGCGTTGGGCACGTATCTGCCAGCTGTAGCTACACCACAGCTACTGCAGCAACTGCGCCGGCAACAATAGGGCCGCACGGGGGTTCATCGGAGGCCCCGCATTCGATTTGGGCCTTTCTTTCTGAGCTCGCCAGATTTAGGGCCGCGGAAGCTTTCCCCCACGTAAGGCGGACAGCATGTGGCGGTGCGCTCTCGTGTGTCTACGGCTTGACAGTCTACTGCTCAGGCATTTGAGGGGGAGAGAGGAGGCCGATGCAGCGGCAACTGTATCGCAAGTGGAAGTGACCAGCAAAAACAGCTTGCCCTAACATCCTTTCAGCTGGCCCTGCGGACCACTGCATCTAAGAGCGTTGAAGATAAACGATTCAGGTTCTATGACCGCCAAAGCGCGCGCCGACTGGTGGTGGGGTTGTTTTCTAGAGTACGAACACCCCCAGGGCCAACCCACGGAGGCGGCATTGTCGGCTATCCACCCCAGTCAGCTCTCAATTACGATCGCTACTTGCTACCACACAGCAGCACAGTGAAGGCCCTCATTAGGGCCTCTTGTCCCTACGCTCATCTATCTTCTCCCCACTGCTCCCCAAAAGCGGCCTTTGAGGGGACTCTCGCTAAAGGGCGCGCCTCCCAGGCACTCCAGGGGGAGCTCCTCGCCGGAAATTTTGCCAAGAATATCTGAGCGGGTGCGATTGGTTTGGAGAGAGCACAAACCCTAAACCTAAGCAGCTCAACAGAGCTTCGATACGATTTCGAATGAAGCATGCGACCCAGTGAGTCAGAGATATGTCATAGTGCCTAACATTGAGCGCAGTGCACAAGGACAACAGACAGCGACGCGCACGGTGTTTTGTTGCAAGAAAGCTCCTCCTGCTAACCTCGAGGCGTGCTAGCTGCTGCCAAAAATTTTAATTTCATGATATATTGACCCACGGCAAACCGACAGAGTGCGCATGCGGACTGGAGGGGGATGCAGGGCTGTGTGTGGGAAAGCGACCATGCATGTGTGTTTCCCCTTACCACTCATCCATTCTGCAAATTCTCTTTCGTTGATGGCGCTCTTCTGGTGCTCGTCCAGGGCATTGTAAATAATGCCGAGATCCGTGATGTCGAACTGTAGCCTTCCCGCTGTGTGATCGGCGCAGAGCCTGTTGAACTCCTCAAACTGCATGCCGTGCGCGGGATCTGTCATAGCGTACTTCCTGTAGGCCTCAGGATACTGGCCCTTAGCAGCTACCAAGACGCTGCGTCTGACCTTCTCGAGCCTGAGACTCTTTCTAATTGCAATGAGTAGCCCGATTAGGGATACAGCAGATACGAAGAAAGAAATCGTTACAGACAAGAAAACCAAGCCGCCGCTTGAAACGCCCCGGCGAGCTGGCCAGAGCGTGCACGACAGAAGGCTTCCCAAGAATAGCAAGAATAAACTTTTTCCCGTCAAGCGCGTAAGGAAGCGGAAATATCTCCGAACCATCGAACGGTAGCGACCCGCCCATCGAGGGCTGCCTGGGACGTCTATCAGCATCATGATGAATCCAAAGACGCTGTACAAAGGGTCAAAAACAACAGCACACGCAGGGAAGCTCGTTGCGAAGAGGCGCGCAAACAGTCGTCGCGAGGATGGGTAAGGAAAAGCTACGCAGCACCAAGGAGCAAAGGATGTTGAGGGCAGCCAAGACGCATGACGAACATGGGTGGCACCGGGGGAGAGAGCTGTTGCAGAGACAGACAAAAAGTCAAGACAGGAGAATCCTAGGGTTCGCGGGCACAGGACGGCTCGAACTCTTTTCGCCCCTGTCCTATAGGTTTCGATGTACAAGGTGCGCTGCTAGGTTAGCGATCAGAGGAGGGAAAGTTTGTTTCCAAAGACACCGAATATGATGAGGGCTTGGGCTGCACTACGTACACCAGGAATGTGGAAACAACGAGTGCAGCGAGGTCAAAGCCGGCCAGGCTTGAGAGAAAGCCTAAAACTCCTCCAGAAACAACCGTAAGGGCTGCACAGAAGAACAGCGTCTGGTATTTGCAGTTCAAACGCATGAGAGTCTCCTCCAGGCGGGCGCCCCCGCTTTCCACCTGGTCTGCCAGGTGGGCAGCGGAGGTTGGCACTGCCGGGTAAGGCGATGCCTGACCAGCCATGAGCCCTTGAGAATCTGCGGAGAGACACACCAGAGAGGCAAGGAGGTGCATGTACGGCGCTGAGGCCTGTCAATCAAGTGGCCAGGGGGCAAGTGACGGCTCTGCTGAAAGGGGGGCAAAACAGCCGCCGCTGCGGAGCCTGATATGCTGCAAAGACCGTCTGCGAGATATACAGAGGCGGTAACCCAGCAGTGTATGGCCGCAGCGGCAGCAGCGAACAGGGAGGCATCAGACAGCATGAGGACTAGTTCCAAGTCTGGTCCCCTAAACTGGCGTCAAAGTGCAAAGAATCCACTGGCCAGCTGTGCCGGTAGCAAACCCTCGGTTGTAAAGTCTAAACACAAAATCCTCAACCCTGAGACCGTCAATGCCATCCAATGTTTCTGTGTGTTGGACGCCCCTACTGTGGGCCCGCGATGTGGCGATAAGGTCCGCTGCTGTTGATTTTCTCCTTTTTCCCCCAAGAAGGGTAAGGAAGAAGACACAGCCATTTCCAGAGTGTCGAGAGAGAGGCTCGGGAGAAGGTTTGGCAGTTTACGCTCTGCAGCGTCTGCTGCTTACCAGCGGCCGCAGACCCAGCGGGCGGCTCTGCGAACATCTTGTCGCTTCTACGTCAGTCGCTCTTTGCCTATGGAAGTAGAGCAGTTGAATTGTATCCGCTTGTTCAAACAAAACGGCAAATGGAGATCTAGGGACCCGCACCTGAGTAGCAGCAGTCGCACGTACCGCCGGCCCGTCAGCAGCCGCCTGCTGGCCGGTGTGTGTCGGCTGCAGCTGCTACACTGACCTTGCCTCATGCTCGTGTGCTGAAACCCCCATAAACCATCCTTTTACTTTTGATATGAGACTTTCCATGCAAAGAGGCACCACAGAAGTAATGGCGACGGGCAGGGACACTAGCAGTGTATGCAACTAGGCAAATCATTGCGCCGACACTATCCCCAGAAGAATGTTTTTTTTCTCCCACGACTCTTCCTCCCGCTACACTCACTTATAGCAGCTACATCATTATTTTCATGGCATTTTATGCATTATTTCCCTTCTCTCTCACGCCTTGATCCGAAAACTCCCATGTGTTGGCTGCGCAGGGGTATGTGCTAGCGGCCTCCCACATGAGGCCCTGTCCCCTGCATTCAAATCCTCAGGCTCCAAATGTGTTTTCTGCATATAAAACGCTTTCTATGTAGACTCAGGCCCTGATAAGGCCACGTAAGGGAAACTTGAGGGGATATGCGGTCAGCCGTACACGTGCCCGTGCTTACTGTGTAATCCTGTTCAAGTTCTGTGGAGGATCGGATGCCTCTGCATGCGCATCTCAATGCCAGTTTTACACTGGCTGCCAGATGCATGCTTATGTTGTGGTACTTGGGTGCAGAATATCCTCACCACAGTTCCAGCGAAAAATTCTTGTAATCTCCTGCCGAATATGTAACTCGACTGAAGCTATCCAGTGTCATTTGAAAAGTTTCCTCTCCTCGCTATATGCCCTCACCACCTGTAGAAAAGCCGGCATTGGAAGGAAGGAGAGACAGTGATGGTGCATGCGCATTGCTGCACTCATTGAGAGGCCCCGAGCACTCCAATTCACTTATTCAAAACAATCTACAGCGCATGCTGTTGGCTCTTGTTGTAGTGGCTCGCCTAGCTCTGCTCTGTAGCGAATTGAAGGAATGGGCAAACAAAATAGTCAATGCTTTCTAATTTCGCATCTACGTGGTATGATATAAACTACCCGAGTATCGTGCAGGCCCGTACACTCACGAATAAAAAAGAAGGCAATTGCACTTAACACACCTGTGAGATTGCTGTTGGACTCGACTGTGCATCCCAGGACATTTACAGACTTTGTGTTTTTTGGCTTCGGGCATACTCCTCACGAGGCTTCGGTTCCCGTGCAGAGGTAATTGCCATCTCCCCTCTTAATATCTTTTCAGCTTTTGCTCTTACTCTAGTAAGGTGTCCCTGCGCTTTTTAATCGGCATTAAACGAAGTGTTTGGGTCACAGGATTAAGCCCTGTGCCTTTCAGTTGCCTGAATCCTCTTCGGGTGAGCATACAGCAACCTAGCATAGTGTACCATGAACTTTCTCCTTTCTGAAACCCTTTAGAATCCACGATGAGGATCTAAATGTTGCTGCATGGGTGCTGTAGATCAGCACTCTTCCTCTCTGCCTGCATCTCGTCGATCCTCGCTCAGCTGCAGGCTGAAACCACCGCGACATACCCTAGAGATGAGAGAAGTGTGGACTGTGTTGTCGAAAGATACGCTGGGTTCTCGAAGAGGATCATCTTTTCGATTATAGAGCATCACATTTTGTACAAAGGGCAGCAAGGATTGCCTTAGCTATATGGCGCCTGCAGTTGGCAGGCCTCGTGCCACAGTACAGCCTGTACCGCTCTACAAAAACACCCCTCAAAGCCCAATAAACCGATAATAGAGCAGCGGTATTACACTATACATTCGACACAAACTAGCTAGTTGCGCAAGAAGCGGCCGTGAGTATGAGCCAACGTTTCTTGCTTCTACATATGGCCCCAACGTGGCTTCCTGAGCAGGAGGTAGTGACACAGAGTAGCGCTACTACCGTATCCGGCATGCTTATGCAACCTTACTTCAGCTCCTTGAACGAACCAGTGCAAAGCCAGGAAGCTTTCGAGAAAGAGGCTTGTTTGAGAAGCGCTCACCAGTTAGGGGCCAAAACCTACGGGGCATTGGGCACCCAATGCTGTCGCGATTTACCCGGAACGAAGATGGGCATTGTTGAATTCGTCACTAGAGCTAGACACCCGCGTGCCACTTTAGTAGGCCGCCGGTTAGGCAGACAATCCGATCGTAGCCTGTGCAGTGCCTCTCTTTATCTCCCATATGGAACGAGCTAAGGCATTTACTAGTATGGCTCTCTGTTTGTACATCTTATCTATTGCGGATCACGAGTAGCTCAATTCAAGAAAATGTAGGGCTTTACGCGTGAGCTGGCTGCCCTGTGTAACTAGCGTGAGTGCTTGGAATGCTAAAAGGGTGCAACTAAGCGCACTTTTTTCCCATCCCCTCCGATCGGAAATGAGAGGGCCGCGGGTAGGGTTAAAAGGAAGCTTTGGGGATGTTTTTTGAAATGTTGATATAATCTGGAGTTACGTGTCTTCCGACAAAGATCATAGAAGGAGCACTGCAGGTGGTAGCAACACATGGCTTCATTCACCTGTTCCCGGGTCGTCCACTGGCTGTGGATGCAGTGGAATGTCAGGCTCTCTCACAACCGCTCGCGTGTTTTGACCAAAATTTTGTTACTTCAACAGTCTGTTCTCCGTGCACAACACTAGGAAAATAAACCCCCTTACGATGGAAGTTGATGGTCTCACAGCCTGTGTTGGGGAGACAGCTGCCGGCCATCAGGCTGATGTGGACGCAGCAGCATTACGCCTGGTAGAGAGCCATGATTTAGCAGCCGATAAACTGTTTATAAATGAGTCTATGAGGTTATGCAGACTAGCAATATGCAAAGATCCTGAGGGTGGGCAAATACTCGCAGGTTTTATTCACCGGTTGCAGATGTACCTCGCCTTGTACTCTGCAGTAGGAAAGAAACGAGCGCTGCTCGGGCCATGTTTTGTGAGAAAGGGCCACTTCAATTGTGTCTCTTTTCATGCAGAGGAAGCAGTTATCCTGCAGAGATTGCTACGGCTCAAGCTTAGACACGCTCGGACTCGTCGCATTCGCTCAGATACGCTCAACAGCATCCTTTTGGATTATCGAGTAAGCTGAAGCACGGTAAAATATCTGTATATTGCTATATCCAGAAATATAATACAGTGGCTAGCAAAAACCACACCGTAGATATGGAAATGTTTCTTGAGTGGCTCATTTCAGGTCTAACCGAAATGCCACACTTGTTGGTTTCAGGTCTCATGATGAGCAGCGGCTCAGTATTTTAGCGACTGGCCGGTTGTACTTCTACAAGTGATGCACTAACTGGGGTTTGAGGAGCGAATGAGCGCAGCCCTATGCCTTTGGCTAAAGAAAACTACAAAATCGAGATTTATAACACATGGATGACGGGGCTGTTTCAGTTGGCCCTAGCCCATAGTGTATGGAGAAACAGAGAGAAATATCAAAGGAAATCAGCTCTTCCAAGCAGTTGCAGTCAGCCTCTCAACCACGTGCCTATTTCTATTGCAGACGATCTTGTCTTTTTATTCGGGAGCGCAAGCGCATGTGAAAGCCATAGAGCGTGAATAACGGGAACACCCCGCGAAAATAGATTTCTTGGAGAGCAAAGACAACGGATTAAGGAAGAGCGAGGTCCCCTACTCAGACTTTGGTGAAGTTAAGACGGATACATAAGATAAAGCAGGATGGTGTCCCTCTACCAGTTGTTTCTACACCGATATAGGCTCACATTAGTCGCCAGGATTTCTAGTGGTACTTTACGTGGAGTGACAGTACAAAAGCAAAATCTGTATCTTCAGGCGTTTGCGTAGTCCCTAACACTCATTCTTGGCGACGGGCGCCAGATCACAAGCAATGGCTAGGCTACGGCTATTAACCGCCCTTTAAAAGCGTTTTAGGATCCTATCAGCATGTTCCGTGACTTCTATGCTGGTCCAGCACAGCATGCTGTAATTTAAAGTGTTTGACGAGTAGCCTAATGGAAGGGGGGTGTGAAGCCGTAGCCGCGCGCTATGGAAATTAGTGTGCCCTGAAGCGCTAGAAAGTGGCAATTCCATATCTAAACTATCCTGATTTCACTTGTGGTGAGCGGAATAGGGTCCGCGCCTCGACGAGGTGGCGAAGAGTCTCGATGCAAATGGCTGAGCACCGCAGTAAGCGACAACAGTTCTGGACATGCATGCCATCTCGGTAATTCTGCAGCTGATTCTATATCAGATGATTCGGTTTCATTTCCAGTTAAGGAGCAACACGAATGGGTGAATATAAAAAATGGTTTGGCCGATTTCCCAGATAATTAACGAGCTGCCAGCAGGCTGGTCACCGGCTAGTGTTCGAGCGCACCGTGTTGAGCTGATTCCCGAGTCCACCCCAGGTTCCGCTACATAGGAACTGCCTACCACATGAAGAGGAGGCTGATCGACAGGGTAATGCGTTGTTGGAGAGAGGCAAAGTGCAGTAATTCCAGGGCTTCTGGGCGTAACCCACTGTTGACACGGAGGTAGAACATAAGGCGATGCACGTGCTTTAAATTCAAAGCCGTGAACTACATCACTGTGAAACAGAAGCTTTGAATGCCTCATATCAGCGAAATTGAAGACAACTTACACGGATCAACAGTGTAGTGTAGATTTGAATTCATAGAGGCTTTCTCACATATCTCCCATCACCCTGATGACAAGAAAACGGTATCGAACACTCACACTCGTAAGCCCAAGGGTACCTGTATGCCGTTTCGGCTAGCTGATGCCCCGGTTCAACTACGACGGCTAGTTAAATCAGAAAGTTTATGAGCCTAATAAGTAGGGGTAGATGAATTCCTACATGCACGATGTCTTTGTGCTCACCTGGGATTCCGCGCTGCTGCAGGTGTTGAGCCAGCTCGGGAAAAACCAAAGCAGTCAAGGCGTGGCCTTTACCGCTACGCATCCGCAAGGGCCTTGTGAAGCGCGCTGAATTTGACTCTTATTACTGAAAATTTCGCTTGTGGATTTGCTGTCATCGTTGCGCCTTTGACTGGCCTACTTAAGAATTTGTAGTCCAACACCACAAAAGAAGGGGCCAATTCTGCAACAAAGACGCTTTCCAGCTGCCTTACAACTCCATCAATACCTGCGCTGCCCAATTATGAGCATCCTTTCAAAATTGATGCTAGTTACTTTGCGGTGGGATCTACTCCTTCCCCCAACAGCTTACGGGCTCTCCAAACCACCAAAGTTTTGATTGATATTTGCAGAGCTTCTCCAAGGCCAAAACCCGGTATCCAAAGAAAGAAAAAATTCCATGCGGTAGGACAACGCGTGAAAAATGCCAGAATTTTTTAATAGGCGCCATATTACTACATACGCCGGCCTCCTGCCTTCAATGTACCTTTCCATAAGCTTCTAGGCTTTGATAGTACTGAAATTGCTCACTAGCTTGCGTGTCCCCTGCAGTACGACTGCACAAAAAACAGCATAACCCACGTTGACACCATCTCGCTCTTGCAATATCTTAGCAGTCCAATATTGTTCACCCTAGTCCCTAATGACTCACAGATAATATCAACGTTGCATGCGTCTTATTCTTGACAACCATGCATTTGCCCCTACGATCAAAATCAAGATTGGCAAACGGTGAAGCAATACTACGTTGAGAATGGCCTGTTGTGGTTTGAAACAAAGCAGGGACTCCGTTGTTCGCACATCCTAACTGCCCTTCGCAGTGCCATTTAATAGAAAGCACGAAATTATTTCCCTTAGGGTCATAAAGGGATTTATACTCCATTGATACGCTTTCACTGTCCTTCTGGTGGTCTGGGATGCATCTCGCGGCAGAAGAGTAGGCACTTTCATGCCCAAATACCAAGCAGCTGTAACCACCAAACTCTCCTAAAGCTGATCGCTTGCTCAGCTCTTGGCTCTTTAAACGATTTGGACTGATCTGAATATTGTGGTTAGACTGCCGAGTTCGACGGCTAGAGTGGCGCCCACGTCGTTTTCGATTGACTGAGCAAGAATGCCCCGTTCACTACGTGATCCTGCTCTCTCACGGCTTAGGACATTGTTCAGTTATTCTTATCTTATGTGTGGCAGCTTAACACATTTCCCAGGAGTAGCATTACGAGTAGGGATACAAAAAACGTTAGTGTGTACTAGAATGCCCTTGTAACCTACCTACGCATTGACCATCCCTTGGGCACTGTGAATCACCCTGAGGCAGATGACAAGACCGAGACCTCCAGCACTCTTGGAGTACTTGCTGTTACGTGCTCACACAGATCCAGTTGCTTGACTTTCTTCCATTCTTCGTGCTGAGTAGTGGGCTTAAAATACAACACCACATTTGTCAACCAGTGGCTCTCTCTCATCCCTAATTTACACTAAGGGGCCCCATCAGCGATTCTTCGCGCCGAAGAGTTTGAAAAACATCTGGATAGTGCACACGAGTGCATGAATACAGCTTTAAAAATGACACAAGCACGGTCAGACAATGAAGTATGCGGCTAGGTGGCTTGGAGTATTTGCCGTACTCTCACCAATTAATCCCTTTTCGGATTCCATCGATTTTCCTTGAGGTTGGAAAATAATCGATATTGGCTTTCTGAAGGAGCTTTGATACTCCCGAGCTATTTTCGAACGTGCGTTCCGAGACAAGTGGCATAACTGGAGGCGGAGGATTCACAGGGAACCGCTGAAGTGCAGGATTCAAGAACTCTGGAGCGCTGAGGCAAACCAGACAGGAGCTATTACTGTAATGGGTTGAAGAACGCCCGACTCAGTGGCTGAGCGATGATTCCTTGCGAAATTTGATGCCTGTGGCAGCATTTGTCACGCTTTGTGTTGAAAGCGCTAGTCGCCATGGACGGTGTTTCTCATGATCCGGTATTGGTCCCTCCCGGTTGCATGTTCTGCCTGAGTTGCCTACTTTTATTGATGGGTACTGCTTGGTTATTGTTACTACCATTGCAAAAGTGTCTTCTGACCTCGTTTTCGTGTGGGCTATCTGTTTTACTACGCGTTCACATTCTTGCTTACGCTTCTTTTGAGATTTTGAACTTGACTAGGCCGCAGCACCCTCTGTATTTGCATGAGAATATTGCTGTGTAATGCGCCGAGGCTCTGATGATCAACTCTACAGTCTGTTACTTTCTACACAATTTAGTTCTTTTTAATTTTCTCAAGGCGGGAGGCTCGCACATCTTACCACTCCCACGAGAGCGAGCAATCGCGCTTGCCGCGCTCGTGCTTGCTGGTTCGGTAGGTCCCTCGCCCGTTGTCTGTTCGTATGTGCCTTTCTGCCCGTCGTTTCCACTTTGGCTGCTGATGCATACATTTCCCTCTTCTCATTTGCACTGTTCCACGCTCTGCCTGCGTGCAGACTGGCCGTGGGGCGGGAAGTTTTTCGCTGTCTTGCATGCAGTTGGTCTCCACTCGCACGTACGGAACACGAGAGTGTTTTTGAACTGAGGGGGGAGGGGGGGTGATGTAGCTAGCAAAAGCTACAATTCAACACTTTCTCCTGAATCAGTAATATTTTATTAAAAATCACTAGGAAATCAACTGGAAGATTTTTTCTCTGTTCATAGACCTAATTCATTGGAGAGTACGGTTAGCTCGATAGGAATAGACTCAATACTATGTGAGTGTGTGCTAAATGCAATGCGCAGCTAGCAATGACTACTCAGAGTGCTTAGTGAGTGCAACTACACACAATTCAGGGAATCCTTCCCCTGTATGCGGGAGTTATGGTGGGCGCGGGTTGAGGAACGTGGGAGTCGTACTGCGGAGCATCCAATAACATTCTTCGAGGCGCGTCTTGAGTTTGGAGTCAAGTGTATGCTGACCGAGACCGTAGATGGAGAGTTACACCAGGAGTCTATACGACTCAGCGCTGAGGCTGTCTGCTACGCAACGCCATTTTGAGGGTGTAGCAGCTTGTGCGACATATTTGTGTGTGTCTGAGGAGGCACGATCTTGCGCTTTTGCAGTCAATGGTCCACCTCGTTGGGTTCAATAGGCTGCTGCGATATAAATACTACTTCTTATCTGGGCCCATTGTATCGGGGGCTTTCGCACTTTCGAGTTGAAGGCATTCCAGTTCGAGGTTGTGCCAGGTGTCTCCTCTGTAAGGCCAAAGAGGGCGTTTGTGCCAGTCATGCCCCGTAATTCGATGTGTCTCCGCGGCAAGCCGCTTGGCTAAAGTGGCCTCAAAGGCATTAGGGGACAATTACAAATGAATTGGGAAAGTAATTTTGAGCAGGGGGCGAAATGCATGCAGGAGGCCAAATGCCAAGTGGAGCGTAAACATAGATCCCACCCCTTCCTCTTACGTATATTCAAAACGGCATGTGCCTTTCATGCCGATCTGCACTATCAAAGACAGAGGGCCATCATCCCCTGATGGAGCGGCCGTAGAGGGCAGAGAAGCCGAGTGAAATGAAAGAGGTACATGCACTTGCCGCGCCACCCACTAGTTCTCCCTGTTATATTCGATTTCCGCCAACTTACCGGCGCTGCTCGCACTACTCACTGCCTGCCTGACTGCTTCCAACGTATGACCCCCCTGCCGCCTTTCGCGCAGCTGCGTGCAGTGCCGTGATTTTTTGGCTCGTGTCGAAGCAGAGAACGTAGCAAAGGCAGTGCGGACTTTGTGAGGCCCTATGTCTGAGGCTCAGTGCCTCCTACCTACGCTCCCCACAGCTCTTCGGCTCTCTTCTGGCTTGCCCTGGTATTTCCTTGTTTAAACGTTGCACTCCAGATCTGAGGGTCTCGAGTGCGGCTGAAAAGGCAAGGGTTTGCAGAGGCCTTCAGGTTTGCCCCAACCGGAAACACGGACGTTGGCTAATTCGGAGCGCGTTTATTTTTTCTTGTTTAGCCTCCCTGTGCCAAGTGTGCGGCCTTAGGCCTTCTTGATAATCTATTACTGCGTCTCTTCTTCGGACGCGCTGATTCCTATACGTCCTTCTCCCATCCTGCCTTGCTTTTCCCTTGGTATTGCCTCATTACTAGTTTTAGCAGCCCGCCTACATCCCCTGGCTCTACAGCCAGGTCGGCCGCATACTCAGAGGTGGAACGGCTAGACAAAGTAGAAAGCACACGTTCGACAGCTCAGAAATAGAGACAGAACGAGGAAACACCTAAAAATTGCATACGAACGCAAGTTGGCGGCTGAACATGCAGCCAGCCGGAGAGCTTGCCTCGCCTGCCTATCCACAAGCCAACGGAGCGACGTCTTGAGTTGCTCCAGTTACAGCAAGCGCAAATGCAGCATGAACGAACCCCTTCAGATCCACATACGCCTCAAAGCACCAACGTTGCCCATGTGGACCTTGGACTAAGAACGGAAGAAAACCTTCCAAGGTGTGGGTGTGCACGCACCTCCGATGGGCGTTTTTACCCTGGCCTTTGGTCTGAGTGCACCTTAAGAGCGAACAGGAAGCTGCAGCGACTCTACGAGCAGTTTCAGACGCTCCTCGGCTCCAGAGGCAGCCCGCCATTCCTCTGCGCGGACTGCTATCTGCAGCAGGAAGAGCAACAACACCAGTGAGTGCGCAGTTGCGCAGAAGAGAACTGCGGTGCAGCGCCTGTCCGAAATAGTGGTGTGGCGCATGCGGTTCACGTAGTTAGAAACAGGATACCCCGAGTTTCTCAACTTTCAGATACAGAAGCAGATACAGAAAGACGTAAGCAAAGCATGCTCGCGGCCTCTCTAAGGGTCCAGATATGCGGCTGCCTGCAGAAAAAACGCCTTCACGGGAGCATCGACGACCTCACCAGTGCATGCCCTGCGCGCAGAAGGTGCCTGTATTTGAGCTGGTCGTACACCTCAGAGGGGCCCTCGAAGTCTGCGAACGAAGTCAAGTCTCCAACGATGACCAAAGTGCGGCTTGCAGAATCCCCTCCTAGCTGCTCCGCCTTCAGCACTGCTGCCGCGGGTTCAGTACCCCCCGTTGCCTCAGACACCTCAGCAGCAGCCGCTGCAGCTGCTGTGGACGGCCAGCGGAAAAGAGACGCCGCTCGATACGTGTGCAGACAGGGGAACCCTCGAAACTGTAAAGACATTGCGACTCTTCTTAAGCTTGATTCACTGGTGTCTGCTTTCTCCTGATCCTGCTGCTGTTTTTCCTGCTGCTGCAGGTGGGCATCCACAGTCAGCAGTAGCCTGTGCCGGAGGCCATCGTGCTGCAGCAGCTCTTCAACCTGAAAACAGCAGTGCAGCAACTTCTCTATGCATGCAGCCAGCCCAACCACTGGCTCTCCTGCAGCCCTCCCACGAGTGTGGGAGCAGCGGCAACAACGTAGCAGCAGCACCAGCTGATGGAGGAGCAGAAAACAACGGTATGCATGGAGAACAACAGCAGCGACAAAGAGAGCAAACCTCCTCCTCCAGCCGCTTCTGTGCCTCCGGCGCTTGCGCTTCCACGGCTTCGCCGCAGGATGAAGTGGGATACGCAGCAGCTAAGTCTGAAAGCCCCTCCCGCTCAAGCATCTGCAGCGGCGCAGAAAGAAACAAAGCGTCACAGATATCAAAAAGCTCTGCTTCCACAGCGGCTCCCCACTGCGATTCGCGAGGCGAAGCGAACGTCTCTCTGGCCAGAAAACTGACCTCACGAAGCCTCTTCGCCTGCGGATCCAAGCAGATTTCGAGCCGGATTTGCTGGAGCCTCAAATCCAGTTCCTCCCAGTCATCCCTGCGGGCTCAGCGAAGGCATGCAGCGGCGAGCAAGCACACAACCTCAGACGCATGCAGCAGCGGCGAGCGAGCACACAGAGAGGCTGCATCAAGTACGTCAGAGAGATGCCTTTTGAAACTGCGGGAGCAGCCTGCTGCGGAACTCGTGGGGGCGTACTCTGTTGAGAAGGCACGCTGCTGCCGCAAGAGGTCAACCTGCTGCAGCAACAAAAGCAGCAAGTCGGCAGCTCCTCTGTGCAGCTGCAGCGCCACAGCAGCCCATGCTGCAGTCACGGCATCAGACGCGGAGCAGCTGGAGGCATCGCTGGCCAAGCATCTCTCTAGTTCCTGCATCAGCAGCAGCGCAGCGCATAAAAAAACGCGAGACGCAGATGGATTTTTTTCGCGCAGTCCTCACGAACTCGGCTGGAGGTCTTGCCTGCACCAGCCGTGTGCCTCCTTGCAGCATCAGCAGCGGCAGCGGATGTCTGGAATCGCATGGACGTACACTCAGGAGCGCTAGAGAGGGTGCAGCACTGGGATTCGTGCGCAGCGTTGCGAGGGCAAGCAGACAGTCCGCGAGTTGCGAGGGAGAGAGCAGCCGGCACACTCCTGCACAAGAAAGCAAGACACCACCCTCAAGAAAATTTCACTCTTGCAGCGCGCACAAGTCCCACGACAAAAAACGGTACATATATACATACATATATATGTGCATTTATGCCGCCTCCAGGAGACCGTTCACGTAGCACAGGGGAAGAGGCAGCCCACAACGGAAGCAGTGGCACTGAAGGATGCCGCAAAAGGAAGGCATAACAGCAGCAGTGACAGCCCACTGGCACCAAGCGGACTTGTGAGCTGATAGGAGAGCTCCAAGATGGCCAAGCCGTTGGTAACTCCGAGGGTGGCCATGCTCAGCAGCACCGAAGACAGCGGCAGGAGCATGAGCTGCTGCTGCAGCGTCGCCTCGCTCGGTTCTTGCTGCAACTGCAAGTCGGGAGCAGTGGGACCTCCGAAGTGCAACGCCAGCTGTAGCCGCAGCGCGTCGGCTGCCAAATCAGCGAAAGACGGTATTCTCTGACCAAGAGACGACAGTCCAATCAGAAGAACGCACAAATCCTCTGCAGCAAACTGCCCTGCAGCTGCTGTATCTGCAGCCGATGCTGCTGTATTTGCAGCCGATGCTGCTGTATCTGCAGCCGATGCTGCTGTATCTGCAGCCGATGCTGCTGTATTCGCAGCCGATGCCCCCAGCGCCAATTGCTGCTGCTGCAGCAAAGAGCGCACGTGCTGTGCGTACACCTTGAGGAACTCCTGAAGTCCAGACTGCGCCAGATGCTGCTGCTGTATCTGCTGCTGCATCTGCTGCTGCATCTGCTGCCCGCCACTGCAGGCACCGCGATGGGAGAGAAGGCAGCAGCAGCTGCGCGTTGCAGCTGCAAGGAGCACAGGCAGCTGAGACAACTGCCGTGGAGTCAGTTGCTGCAGTGGAGGAGCTTCGATGGCTTGACTTGCGGCAGCACCTCCGCCGAGAAGGTGTAGCATGCGCGATAGTATCTCCTGGGGGGAATGCTAAGGGACACAGACACGGCAGCAACCAAACCAGTGTCAGCCTCCGGAGGTGAGAAACGCATGAGCAAATAATGACGCCGCAGAGAAGCGGCAGCAGTAGCAGCAGGATGATCCACGCTGGAGACAGCTGGCAAGACGGCAGAAGCTGAGGCACGAGAGAAAACACGCCAGCAGACTCAAGGCAGGCAGCGAGAGATCCTTCGGGGAGAGGAGTACCGTGTTGGCAACGGCAACAGCACAAGAAGCGGTGGTAGGATGATACACAAAAAAAGAGGAGCTGCTGGAAGCAGGGGAAAGGCACCTGTAGCCTGGCGAGGGCGACTAGCAGTCTGAAAAGCTGGGGTACGGAGAATCCCACAAGTCTGCTCCGAAGCCGCTGCAGCAGCTGCTGAAACATGGTGTCTGCAAGCAACCGCTGTTGCTGCTGCTGCTCAGATGCAGCAGCAGCGGCACTCGACAGGAATGCCACAAACTCGTCCGGTAAAATGCTAGTGCTCGCGTTGCTGCTGCTGCTGCCGCATGTAGGGTGTGCAAAAGAAGTGTGCTGCCGCTGCAGTAGCCGTTGTATGCCGTTCAGTACTTCATCTAGCGTTGGACGTCGCTGCTGCTGCAGCTGCAGAAGCATCTCCTCCTCCACTCCCCTAATGCTGCTTGTGTTGCTTGCGCTGCTTGCGTTGCTTTTGCTGCTTGTACTGCGAGCCTGGAGCCAAGCTAACCGTGCAGCCGATGCAGCAGCACCAGGGTGCTGGAAGAAAAAGCGGGGTAGAAGCAGCCGCGGCATTCTCCCCCGCCAGGCTTGCACGGGAAGGACCATCCTGTTATGGCGGAGTAGCGACAGGGGCGGAAGGCAAAGGGAGACAACACAGGGGGCAAGGCAGAGAGGATGATCTCCGTGCAGTTTGAGGAGATGCTGATGAGCCGAAGCTACGCCTACAGGAATGAACCTATGCGGGCGATTAAAAATGCCGGCTTTTCCACAGGGCCCTGAAGTAGCCTTTACTGCTCCTCTACGGAGGCACATACACACACACACACATACACATACAGACACATACACATACAGACACATACACATACAGACACCTACACACAGCGGCAGAGGACTCGATTTCAGCTCCAACTGCGTCTTACTGGTGGATTCCCATGACAACTCCCCGGCTGACTAGGCACGAGAGGGGCCAAGATCCCCTCAGTCTTGAACCCGCCACAGCGATCCCCGGTGTATGTACATGCGAACGCGCTGCTGGTACACGTAGGGGTCCTGCGGCTTATGCCGCCTTGCCGGCATCAGGGAGACCCTCAGCCATGCATGTCAAGACACAAAAGACACAACAAACTTTTCAAAGCAGAGAGGGGTGCAACACAGGGGAAGGGCGACGTTGTGGCAAGAATCGGAGGCTCAGCCGCTGCCGCAGCGGCTCCGGCAAGCAGCACCCGCCGCTCATGCCTGACGCGGCAGCTCATCGGCTACCGTTTTGGGATATTTGTTTTCGAGTCTCTTTTTGAGGTTCGCTTCTTCTTGCTTCACTGGCTGGGGAGCACTTCGCTGCAACGGCAGCAGCGGCTACAACAGTGAAGCAGTACCCACCTGCATGCAAGGGGGGGAGGGAGTTCTCGGTGGCCGCGTTAAGGCCCTCTTCACGCCCAACTTTCGATTTAAAGGAATCAGATTGTAGAGCTACCAAGGGGGACAGACAGTCGCCACAGCAGGAGCGGAAGTCGTGGCAGACGCCTCGCGCTGCCTAGACACTGCGACAGCGAAGTCAGACCACACCAGCTCGCGCGCAAAAGCAGGAACCCTTCCCCTTCCCCCCTCTACACTGCCCTTTTGCGAGCTGATACAGAGGCATATTTGTCGCGTCTCTTGCATCAGGAAGAGCTTCAGCAGCGCCTAGTTGTATCCTGGTTGTACACGGGTCTCAAAAGCAGCTCTCTGCGGCAGCAGATGTGCAGAAGCAGCAGCTCTCTGCAGCACCGTTTCCAGAGTTAGAACTGCCAACTCAATGGAGGAGGACGGCCAGCTGGCAGCCGTAGAGGCTGCCCCCATGGTTGCAGTGGTACCAGACTCCTCGGTGGCTCCCATCGATCCTACGGCGGGAGCGCAAGATTCGGAAGCGCCTGTAGCAGAGGGAACTAATCACAACTGTGGAGTTGCAGAGGAGGGAGAGGACCAGACAGAAGAGGAAGAAGAGGGCAGCGAAGATGGTATAGGGCTGTCGGAGGTGTTTTTGTGTTGCCTCTGTTGGGGTTCCTGCTCTTTCTTTTTTTGCGTAGCCTCATCCTGCTGCTTCTGCAGCCGAAGTAGTGCGGGCAGCTGCCGCTGCTGTCTCCGTGTTTGTGAATAAGTTTTGAGAGCTTGGGGTGTGTATGATTTGGTGACGGTGGTTGGCTATACTGCTGCTGCCTGTGCTGCTGCTCTGGTCCTGTGCTACAGAAGAAGAGAGCGACAGCGGCGCGGGGATGCCTGTCTACGTGAGTGTTAGCTGCCACTGCTCCTGCTGCAAGGGAGTCTTCTTGTGGCCTCTGTTGCGCAGCGGCAGTTGTTCAAGCACCGCCTGTTTCTGACACCTCTGTCTTTGTGTGCCTATAGGCTGTGTTTTTGCGAGCTTTTCGTGTTTGCGTAGTTCTGGCGATTCTGCCTTTTTACGAGGTTTACGGAGGGGGGCTCGTGTCTGCATGCAGTGTGCGCTGTTGTTGCTGCTGCTGTTGCTGCTTCCGCAGGAAGGTGATTATGGTGAGAGACTCGCGGAGTTACTGCGACAGGCGGATGCGTATTCAGCTCAGATTACAGGCGGCACAGGCCCTCCGCAGGCACCTAAGAAGGTGGGCAGCAAAACACTTCGAGGAGCAGCAATGAGGTGGCCTTTGGAGTAGGACCGGTTGCATGCGTATATATTTTTTCAAAAAATCGCTCAAGCTGCCGTCTTTTTGGAGTCTCTATATATATATGAACCTTTTGGCGGAAAACAATGTTTGAGGGTGTGTGTGCTGCGTGCTTGTACGTCTGTGGGGGCGATTATGTGTGTGTGTCTGTGTGAGGGAGAGAGAGAGAGAAACAAAAGCTTCCCGCAGTCTGCTGCTGCTGTCGAGCCGCATGCGCGCTGGAGGGGTTTGGCGTGTTTTTGGTTCAGGGGCAGAGCACGCGATCCCACTTGTTGACGGAGAAGGAAGAGGACGACTTGTTGCTGCAGGCAGCGCAAGAGGAGGAAACAGCGAAGGGAGCATACTGCCGCTTGACTGAGCAGCCTGCCTGCATCGCTGGGCAGATGAAGGCATATCAAGTGGAAGGGCTCAACTGGCTGTACCAGCTCTTTCGCGTAAGAGTGGCTGGCTGCTGTGCAGGCACGCAGGCAGGCTGCTTGTTGGCTTGCCTCCTGTCTCTTTCTCGTCTCCTCCGCGGGACTGGGGTGGGGTTGCTTCTGGGGGAGGTAGCTGCTGTGTCTCTGCAGGCTACGGGGTTGCGCGCGGTCGGGGAGAGTTTGCGAAAAAGTTGCGGGGGGGGGGAGGGAGAGATATTAAAGAACTGCTCTCGGGCGTCATGCATGCGGGGGAGAAGCTGTTGTTTCGCCCTGTGCTTCACACCACCCAAAGGCTTTTCGTGGCTCGTCCCGAAGGTTTGTGGATGTGCATGTTTCTGCAAGAGGGGTTGCGCGTCTGCATGCAGCTCAATATCAATGGTATTCTAGCTGATGAGATGGGGCTGGGAAAGACGCTGCAGTGCATCTCTCTGTTGGGATTCCTCAAGTACGAGCGAGGCGTCAACGGGCCGCATCTAATTATTTGTCCGCGATCGACTTTAGACAACTGGTATTGCGAGATTAATAAGTGGTGAGTCGTTGCAGGCAAGCCATTGCACAGATGAGGAGGCAGCAGAGAGCAGAGAGGTGCACACGACGGGGGGATACACCCACAGCCTTCTTACGGGGCAGGCTGGGAAACGGGGAAGCGCGATTGGCTCTCTTTCTCTCTATCCCTCTCTGTATCTCTCTCTCTAGTACTCTCTATCCCTCTCTGTATCTCTCTCTCTATTTCTCTCTACCCCTCTATATCTCTCTCTATTTCTCTCAATCTGTCTGTATCTCTCTCTATTTCTCTCTATCCCTCTATATATATATCTCTCTTTCTCTATTCTCTATCCCTCTGTATCTCTCTCTCTCTTTCTCTATTTCTCTCTATCCCTCTGTATCTCTCTCTCTCTCTTTCTCTATTTCTCCCAATCTGTCTGTATCTCCCTCCGATGATGACTCTTTTCTCTGGCCGTTCCTCCGAGCTCTCAGCGGAAGCAACACCTGGCCGTGTGGCATGTCTGTCTGGCTTCTCGGGGATGTCGCTTCAGGTGTTCCCAGCTGCGAGCTGTGCGCCTTCATGGCACAAAAGAGCAGCGAGATACTATTTTCGCCGAGATGCTGCAGGAGGGCCGCTTCGATCTCTGTGTAACAACGTACGAGATGGTCATCAAAGAAAAGAATAGGCTTTCCACCAAGTAAGCATTTTGTATATGCACACCGACTTGCTATACCTGCAGGCCTTCCCGCACGCTGAGGCTACCCTAAGGGAATGCCAGTCAAAGCTCCCCACAGGCTAACAGGGAGAGGCCCCTCCTACTAGCAGTGTGCAAAGCGGCAACGCGCCTAAATATGCAAAGCAACGCGATCACCAGGGCGTCCCTTTACCGCTCTCAGCTCTTGGAAGGGCTTTGATGTATTTTTTGGTGATCTACGCGTCTGTATGTGTGTGTGCGCGCCTCTGTAGGTGTGTGTTTATGTCTGTATATATATATATATATGTGTGTGTGTATGTGTGTGTCTGTGTCTGTATTTGTGTGTGTGTGTGTGTCTGTATGTGTATGTGTGTGTCTGTGTACACGTCTGTATGTGTGTGTCTGTATGTGTATGTATGTGTCTGTGTACACGTCTGTATGTGTGCGTCTGTATGTGTATGTCTGTGTCTGTGTACACGTCTGTCTGTGTCTCTGCGCCTTAATTTTACGCCAAGGTATAATTGGGAGTACTTGGTAATGGACGAGGCGCATCGCATAAAGAACGAGAAGAGCATCTTGGCAGACGTCGTTCGGCGCTTTAGGCCAAATCACCGCCTCCTCATTACGGGAACGCCACTCCAGAACAATTTGCGCGAGCTGTGGTCCTTGCTGAATTTTATTATGCCTCAAGTAAGACTGTCGACTTGAAGAAACGTGCTGTGGCAGTGTCTGCGCTCCTGCATGGGGTGTAGTGAGGGGAACGTAGCATGCCGCTTACCTGCATGCCTCCTGAGTGGGTAGCCTCCGTGAGTGTCATGCTGTCTTCCCGAAATCTGCGCGGTTCAGCTTTTCGACAATACACTTCATTTCGAGGGCCTCTTTGACTTCTCACGTTTCGGGAGCAGCGAGCAGCAGCAGCGCATGATCCAGACGCTGCATCGCGTTCTCCGACCCTTCATGCTGCGAAGGCTCAAGACAGACGTCGCAAGGGATTTGCCACCAAAGCGAGAAGTGTACATCTTCGTGGGTAAGACAGATTGACGAGGGGAGGGAGGGAGAAAATGGCGGGTCGGGAGGGGGAGGTGAGTTTCTTCGCATGCTGCTTTAATAACTCCTTGCTCTTATTGCTGGTGTTTTAAATCTCACGCTTATTCGCGAAGTGCTCGTGGTTAGTTACATCTACTGCAGTAGGGGGCTTTCCTTCCGCTTTTATATCGGTCAGCCCGCCCGCGCGGTTTGCTACTGCTACTGCTGTTTTTGCTACTTCTACTGCTGTTTTTGCTACTTCTACTGCTGTTGTTGCTACTGCTACTGCTGTTGTTGCTACTGCTACTGTTGTTGTTGCTACTGCTACTGTTGTTGTTTGCACCAGGAATGTCGAAGCTACAGAAGAAGCTGTACGCGGACATCTTATCCAAGAATCTCGAGGTGCTGAATGCTATGTCGAGCAACAAGACGCAAATGCTTAATATATTGATGCAGCTTAGGAAGTGCTGCAATCATCCGTATCTCTTTGATGGGGTTGAGCCTGGCCCTCCGTATGTGGAGGGGTATCACCTCGTTGAGGCTGCGGGGAAGATGCATCTCTTGGATCGTCTGCTACCTCGGCTTAAGGCGGAAGGCAGCAGGGTTCTTCTGTTTAGCCAGATGACGCGACTGTTGGATATTGTCGACGATTATTGCAGGTAGGGCCTGGTGCAATGCACAGTGTTTGCTGCTCTCTTCGTTCGATGCAGGGATGCTGAGAGCGTGGTGTCGCAGCATCTGGCTACCAGCCGTTCCCCCGCCGACATGAGGTTCGCTGCTCTCCGAGGCGCGGAGGTGTCCGTGGGGTGTATCGACTGGCGAGGACTGCCCTTGCTGCTGCTTCTTGTTCTTTGCTGCAGATGGCGGGGGCACGCTTACTGCCGCATCGATGGATCGACTCCCGGGGAGGAACGGCAATTGAAGATCGATGACTTCAACAGAGAAGGCAGCGACAAGTTCATTTTTCTGCTCTCCACGAGGGCGGGAGGCCTAGGGATCAACCTGGCCACAGCTGACGTTGTAATTCTGTTTGATTCTGACTTCAATCCGCAGATGGACTTGCAAGCCATGGATAGGGCTCATCGAATCGGGCAGAAGAAGAAAGTGCGATTATACAAACACATATAACCGCCTCCGAGCGGCTCTTACACTTCTATTCGCGAATAGGCGCTGTAACTCCCCTGGTTCTCCCGGGGCCTCTGTTTTCTTTTTCGCGCTAAAAATTTCCGAGGCTTCTTCGGGGAGTCTGAGAAAACGGAGGAGCGTTTTTTTTTCGTCAGCTTTCCGTGCCTGCCACTCCTGCTCCGCAGCGCTCTACAGTGTATCCCCCGCAAATCGCTTCTCGTTTTTCTCTCTTCAGGTTGTGGTGTATCGCTTCGTGACGGGCAGCACGGTGGAGGAAAGGATTGTCGAGCGGGCTGCTAAAAAACTGAAACTCGACTCGCTGGTGATCCAGAAGGGACGCTTGAGCCAGAAGGGTTCTCAGCAACAGGGGCCTCAAGCCTCGGAGCTTCAGGATATTCTCCAATTCGGCGCTCAGGAAGTCTACAGGACGCAAGACGAGAGCAGCATTACGGAGGCGGACATAGATATCATTCTCGCGGATGCAGAGCAACGCACTGCAGAGATTGAAGCCCAGCTTCAGAGGTATGCGTCTTGCGTGTGTTCTGATCCCAGCCTAGAAACTGCAGCTCTGTCTTGCAGTCTCACTGACGTGACATGTTTGGCAGTATTTGGAGGCTCCGCTGTTCCCTCTAGCGAAGGATCCGAAAGACAGTTAGATAGATAGATGGAGAGGGAGACAGAGGGAGGGATAGATCGGTAGATAGGGAGAGCAGGAGAGAGTTAAAGAAAGGGAATCGATATACAGAGGGAGATTAAGGAGGGAGATATTAGAGGGAGAGAGAGAAAGGAAGACTGTAGAGGCTTGCGTGCCGGTGACTCTCATAATGGCGAGGGGGTGGTGTCTCGAGTATTTGAAGTTTTTACATCTGTTCACGGTGGACTCGCGATGTCACCGCGTGCCTCTCTCTCCTCTCTCTCTCTCTGCAGAAGTGTTGTTCGTGTGGGAGAAGGAGGCCTGTTTATGTGGTGTGGCGTTTCGCGTGCAGCTTGGAATCCAAGTTTGATTTATCGAATATCTCTTTGGATGGGGGCTTGCACATGTACGGAGGGGATGTCACGCCGCACCAGCCTGGGAAGCCTGGAAGGAAGAAAGGCACAAAGACGGCTCGACCTGCGATGTTTCTGGATTTAGGGGATCGCAAGACGAAGTGGAGGGGAGAGGGAGGTGCCCCGGGTGCCTTGTTGATACGCAAGGAGAGACGGTTGGCTAGGCGACTTCTCACGGGGTGGCGCGCGCAGATACACGGTGGCTATGACTTCCAGTTCTTCGACACGGAGAAGTTGGACGCCTTGGACGCTGTGCAGACGAAGTGGACGGAGTATCTGCTCAAGAAGCGGCACGAAAAGCACGAAAGGCGGCAGCGGGAGCTTGAGCTCGAGCGTGAGCAGCAGCAGCAGCAACAGCAGCAGCAGGAGGGAGGGGTTCCTGACGGAGCTGAAGACGACGGGACGGAGAAGAAGAGACAGAAGATTGACGTGGAGGCTGTGATACAGCAGCTCTTTGCAGAGGCGGGCGAGGAGACGGCGGCTACAGCGGCAACAATTCTCCCTGCTTCCGATCTCCTGGGAGTTCAACCCTTGCTGCAAGCCATGGAACAAGCGCAACAAGCTGCTCTTGCGTCGCTTTTGGAGGGGTGGGAGGCAGAGAACCTTCTGCTTCTGCTGCTTCTGCTGAGGCTTACGGTTGTGTCGTTATTTAGACCGATTTTGTACCTCCACACCAGTCCTTCTCGGAGCTGCGTGTGTTCGTGAATGCTGCAGGTATCTCAAGCTGCGTGGGTGTGAGGAGGCGTGGTCTGAGGGGGAAGACATGGTCGGACAGCTGCTGAAGCTGTTAGTTCCTCAGCAGCAGCACGAGGGCGAGGAACAACTGCAGCACGAACAGCGAGAAGAAAATGCAACTGCTCACAGGGACGGCAGTCCGAAATGCCGTTGGGCTGTCGGCAAAAGGCCCCTTAAAGATTTGCTTCTGGAGCTTATTGAGGATGTGGAGGTAACAACATGGATATGCATATGTACATACCTATTTGCATACCTTCATGCAGGCACGTATATACATATGTAAATATATATATATATACATGTATTTATATATATGAATATATTTATATATATATATACATATATTTATATATATGTATACGTATATATATATATGTATATGTATGCAGTAGTAAACACTGGATCTTAAAATATCTCACTGTGCATTCGAGCGCGTATTTTCGGGTCGTTTATTGTTGGGCTCTAAGTATATACGCACAACGGCAGCATTGCCACTTTTGCGGCACTGGCGAAAGGGCTTCTCACTCTAACTCTATGTAAATATGTTTATGTACGCATGTGTGCCTGCATGTTTGTACAGACGTGTGTAGCTGTATGGATGGGTGTTTGTCTTGATGGGTGTACACATGTATTTCTGTATGTTTATTTGTATTTGTGTGAATGTTTGTCGATTTTTCTGCAGAGCCGCGTGGCCGTGTCTGAGGGTGTGCCACTTGCAATTCGCATGTGGGGCTTAAGAGACAGACAGCAAAGGCATTCGCAAGAGCGACAGCAGGAGCAGCTGCAGGAGGAAAGCCAGCAGCAGCCAAAGAAACGCGCGGGAAGGCCTCGTAAGGCTCGACCTCCCGAGCCGGAGGAATGCCCCTCAGACACCGAAAGCGCTCTAGACGATCCCAACGATCCCGATAGGCCTCAGCCCTTCACTGCGGAAATGAAGATGCAAAAGGTACAGGCGGAGGCTGTTTTTGTTCTTGTTACTGTTGCTGTTGTACTTGTTGCTGTTGTTGTTCTTGTTGCTGTTGTTGTTCTTGTTGTTGCTGTTGCTGTTGTTGTTCTTGTTCTTGTTGCTGTTGTTCTTGTTACTGTTGCTGTTGTACTTGTTGCTGTTGTTCTTCTTGTTGTTGTTCTTGTTGCTGTTGTTGTTCTTGTTACTGTTGCTGTTGTACTTGTTGCTGTTGTTCTTGTTGCTGTTGTTCTTGTTGTTGCTGTTGTACTTGTTGCTGTTGCTGTTGTTCTTGTTGCTGTTGCTGTTGTTGTTGTTGCTGTTGCTGTTGTTCTTGTTGCTGTTGTTCTTGTTGCTGTTGTTCTTGTTGTTGCTGTTGTACTTGTTGCTGTTGCTGTTGTTCTTGTTGCTGTTGCTGTTGTTGTTGCTGTTGTTGTTGTTCTTGTTGTTGCTGTTGTTCTTGTTCTTGTTGCTGTTGCTGTTGTTGTTCTTGTTCTTGTTGCTGTTGCTGTTGTTGTTGCTGTTGTTGTTGTTCTTGTTGTTGCTGTTGTTCTTGTTCTTGTTGCTGTTGCTGTTGTTGTTCTTGTTGCTGTTGCTGTTGTTGTTCTTGTTGCTGTTGCTGTTGTACTTGTTGTTGCTGTTGTACTTGTTGCTGTTGCTGTTGTTGTTGTTGTTGCTGTTGTTCTTGTTGCTGCTGCTGTTGTTCTTGTTACTGTTGCTGTTGTACTTGTTGCTGTTGTTGTTCTTGTTGTTGTTCTTGTTGTTGCTGCTGTGCTGGTCTGCGACGGTTCAGAAGAAACGGATAGTGTGGATAGATATATGTACATGCGGGGTGTGTCACATGCATAGCACGGTGGCAGAGCTGCGTTTTTGCACGTGTTTTCTTCACGAGGATCCAAGATGAGTTGGGCATGTCGAGAGACGATTTAAAGGCCTGTCTTGTGTGTTATTTGGTGTGCTCGTTTTATCTCCAGGAGCAGTTGCTGTCGGAGGGCTTTTTAAACTGGAACCGAACGGAATTCACGAAATTCGTGAGGTGTGTTGTTAAGGCACTTGTAGAGAACGCTACTGCGTCTGCTGCTTTCTGGCGTTTGCTGCACGAAGTGCTGCTCACGTCTTTTTTTTCTTGCGCGTGCGGGTGTCTGCAAATTTTAGCGCGTTGATTCATTTCGGTCGGGATCGGCTAGAAGAGGCTTGGCAGATTCATTTTAGCTCGACGAACAAGACGATTGAGGATCTCAGGCGCTACGCGGATGTCTTCTTCCAGCGATACCTCGAAGTGGAAGGCGTCAGTCTCTCTCTCTCTGTCTCTCTCTCTCCGTCCCTCTGTCTCTCTCTCTCTCTGTCTCTCTCTCTCAGGCTCTTAGGCTACCACCTCGCTGTCTCATTCTCTCTCTCTCTCTCTGCCTCTCCCTCGTTCTCACTTCTGGGCATGCTGTAGCCGAGCCTGTGCTCTTCGCCGCGCTGTTCGCTCGCTGCCGCGATTCCGAGAGGGGTCTCTGCAGTGCTGAGTGTATTTTTTGGCTCCTAGCTGCCCAGCGGAAGCTGGCTAGTGCCTGCTTGTCCTTGTCTAGGACCTGCTACCTCGGTGTACTGTTGTTGCTTTGCCAAGAGAGCGCGTGTAGCCTGGCGAGGCGTGATGGGTGTCTGCGCTGCTGCTTTTTTTGCGGTCGCACCTGTTGTTTTTTCAGGGAGACAGAATCATGCAGCGTATCGAACGCGCAGAGGAACTGAGGGGTGCAATCGACCTCCAGCGGCGAGCAGTCCAGGCAACTGTAAGGAAGGGATCGAGGCACTCTGAAAGGAGAGAAGCGGGCTCTTTCTCTCTCTCTCTCTCTCTCTCTCTCTCTCTCTCTCTCTCTCTCTCTCTCTCTCTCTCTCTCTCTCTCTCTCTCTCTCTCTCTCTCTCTCTCTCTTCCTCTCTCTCTCTCTCTCTCTCTCTCTCCCTCTCGCTTCTTCTGCTCTGTTGTCTGCCGTGGCGTGCTGCTGTGTGGCTAGTCTCGGTACCTCGGCTAGTCATAAAAAACCAATAACACGCAGTTCATTAACGTT